GCTGCTGGGCACCAGGGGGTAATGCGGGCGATTGAGTGGTCTTCAGGGAAGGAGGCGAGTGTGGGGTAATCAAGGTCTGATTGAGGGTGACGAGATACGTACCTGGTACATGAAGAGACGTCGGCGATGGTGTTGGCAGTCATGTACATCGGTCTTCGTGAGTCGAAGTGATCCTGTTGCGTGAACCAGCCGTAGGTAGGATAGTCGGGTAGAGTAGGCTGGGCGCTGAGCGCCAGACAGAGCAGAGCGACTTTGGATACTGTGTTGGTGTGGCCTATAGGCTTGAACATTGGCTCATTAGTTCATTGTATTGCTCTATATGGATGGTTTTCTCGGTGCATTTGAACTCTCTGCTTGGGACACGACTACTTGGACAGCTGTGTGATTTCGCAAGTTGGTTTTATGTATATCGCTCACACTCATATTCCTTGCAATTTGGTATCGGAGCTGGTTGGTGATCGCCGCTTACCTGGCACTGGCGACATTGTGACTTGGTGCGCTGACGATGCTTCATGTGCAGTAAGGATATGTTGGCGCTGGTTGATTAGCGGGGCCTAGGTGGAGAGGCCGGCCGCTGGAAGGCTGTGGCGACAGCGGGTGTATGCATGATGATGAGAGTATGTTGATGTGGCATTTTGGCTGAGGTGGCACTGCATTGCGTTGTGGGTGGTACCGAGGCTAATGACCGGTCATCGAAATGCACGTCGACCCAATTGGTGAGAAATCTGTGGTTGGGGGCAGCTATCTCCAGGTACGTTGTTCCCATTCCTTATCTACCCTCTTTATCTCTTCTTACCATGAGGAAGTGAGTCCAACTTGAGTGTCCTCTCTTTTGGAAAGGAGTCGTGTGCGCTCTATCTTGAGAGACGGCATTCTTCCCGGTGGCGCATCTGGCAGGAGAGGGCGGTGCCTCTGAAGGGCCCTGGTCGAAGCACGGGTCACGGTCACCATGCCAACCCATGGGTATTAGTACACACAGACCATGCTGCTTTGTCCATTGAGGCTCTTTGCTGCGCTGATAGAAGGGGCGTGCGGACTGACCAGTCCTACGTAGACGCTCCCAGACCGTCTATAAACATTTCTGGTTGGGGTCTGAACTGTCCACTGGCTGTGATCGTCGTCCTGATTGCGACATTAAGGAATTCATGAGGACTCTCGGGGGCTGTCCTTAAATTGCCTCTTGATCAGCCAGATCAGTCAGGCGTACGGCTCGTTGCACGCGAGGGTAAATAAAAGGCAGGCTGGTCATAAGCATACTTCTTGGGCAGAGGGGTGGGCCGTGGTTGCACACCTTAGACACCGCAGCTTGATGATGCTCATAGATACATTGGATACAGGGGAAGGGGATTCCAATTGTGAACTCAAACTGTTCATCACTATATTATCCATTGTGCATACATCTGCTCAGTGCAGTTTATTTTTATCTTGATTAGTTGGTTGACAGATTGCTAACACCTAACAGACAACCTAGAGTAGGACTGTAATCTACCATAGTCAGTTCTCCTTAAAGCTTTTGTGCAGAACTAATCAAAGATAGAGGTAGACTACATGTATACAGTTTGTGTAGGTGTTGTTGATGTCGCTTGATTAGTAGTCTAGGTAACTCGCTGGACACCAATTATTTTATTTATTTTTAGAACCGGTCAGACGCATGCTGCGGTAGGTCCCAAAGAGGACATTAGTGCAGACAGCGTCTACCTAGCCCATGAGTGAATCGGACGGTGGGGAGGATAGATCTGACGATAGGAGGCAGACTCGACGGGACAGGATACCCATTGTGTTCCAGGTTCTACTACCAGGAGACGAGAGAAGGCTTAAGGCCGAGACAAGGGCCCGCAATCTAGAGACTGCGAGAGAGGCAGCAGCAGCGGCTGAACGCGCATTAGCAGCAGCAGCAGCTAGCGCAGTAGCAATGGCTACGTCTTCAGCCACTTCTGCTGCAAACTCTACTGGTCATGCGACCAGTTCACAATCCATCTCCAGTACGTCAGGAGCTGGCACTAGTCAGATGTTGGGTTCGCAGTTCAGCTCGCCACCTCCACGCACCCAGGAGCAGATGGAGCTCCAGCAAGTAGAGAGGATTCGCTTAAGGCTAGAGGAGGAACTCAGACAGGCTACTAAAAGAGAGAAAGAGATTAGAGATAGGAGTGTCAGACTAGAGGGTAGGGAGGCAGACAAGGTTGCGCTAGAGGGGTTAGATGACTCGACCCTTAGCAATAATAAAAAGATTTTGAAGGCGAGCATCCTGTCCATGCACGCATACAGGGACAGTAAACTGGATACAACCCAAGACACCTTGGACCAGATCCTGAATGCCATGCACAGGCCAGGAATCAGGCGAGCAGTCTTGCCGTCGCTGCCATTCTCAACGACGACAGGCCCCTATGCCGCTCAGACTGGACCACCACCAAGTGGTACATCAGCAGCAGCCTTACCTCAAAGACTGTTGCTTCTTCATCTTCCGGTCGAGCGACTGGTGCTACACCACAGTCGCCACCTGTCTCGCCAGCGGGACAGCAATTTCCTTGGTATCCCAAGACCCCCCTGAAACCACCTCCAACCTTCTCAGGAGACAAGAAGGACGAGGCTCTCAACACGTGGTTGAGAACGGTGCCAGTGTGGGTGAGGGCAAAGAGGACATTGGTAGAGGAGGAAGTGATTACTGTTGCATCCTACTTAGAGGGTTCAGCAGCTCGTTGGCTTAATGGATTCAAAGGGGTTCGGTAGGAACATGGGTGATTGGGCGCAGACCCACACCCTGGAGAGCTTTACGGACTTAGTGGAGGCTCGATGGCACAACCCTCAGCAGGCACAGATTGCCACTGATGGGCTTCTAAAGCTTGATGCTAGAAAGTAAAAGTCGATGCGAGAATTTACCACAACCGTAGAGCGCCTAATCGTGGTCCCAAGAGCAGAGTCCAATCCACAGGTCTTATTGACCATGTTCTTGAGATGTCTTCCCACAGACATCAAGAACTTACTGGCCAACGAGGCTCGCTTACAGTATCACACCTTTGAGACATTCAGTAAAAAGGCCTTAGACTTAGAGGCTACGCTAGGTAAACCCCTTCTACGAACGGGAGGAAGAAAAAGACTCCACAACAATGGAAGAAGATGGGTAGTCAATTGATGATGCTTGATTCCAAAGGGAATCAAACTGAAATCGATGATGTTTCTAAACTTGTGAAGGGTGCAGAGTTAGACGGCGAGGAGAGTGTTGAGGGTGGCAACCTCGCCGCAGTAGTTAAGACTAAGGCAGCAGGCCGCAGCAAGGGCGCTCAGCAAAGGAGTCGAGGGCAGGCCGCTAACCCAAACAAGATAGTTGCTTGGGTTAGGAAGTGTGGCGAGATCGTTGGTTGCGTGGTGCTTGCATAAACTGCAGCGAGTATGGCCACACGCAGTTTAAATGCAAGAACCCAAAGGTCTCGCAAAAGATCCCTTCTAAGGGTGGGTTTACTTCTTCTCAGTCTGGGGCCTCTACGAGCTCCAGCTCCGGAAACACTTGGGGCCGGTAGAAGATGCAGCTGTTTCTACTCTCGTTGTAGCGGGTGATGTACCCTCCCCGGTTCAAGAGTTGGCCAAAGCTATTGACTACTTAGTCACCCCACAGACGCATCCGGACCCAACTATACTCTGTACGTTGGATGTGTTTGAAGCCTTAGAGGACCTTCAAGGTGAGCGATCGACAAGGGACGCTCGAGAGTCCTAGGTGGCACTAAGTAGAGGTCCTAGAGGGGTGCACTTCGTTGTGGAAGTTGGTGTGGGTGGTCGCAAGTGCGACACCTTCATAGATGTTGGCTCCACGCGAAACTTCATAAGTAGCGACTGCGTTGACAGACTGTGCCTAAAAGGACCGGGTGTAGCGCCTTAGTAGACCAATAGCATCTACTTTGGCCAACAAAGAGCGCATGATGGTGGAGGACTACGTTAAAGATGTAGTCTGCACCTTCTCCTACCCAAAAGGAAAAATAAACCATAAGATATCATTCCTGGTGAGCGACGAGTTGCCCTTTGACATGTTATTGGGCATGTAGTACTTCGAGGTTGCCAAGCCCCAGTTCGACTGGGACAAGAAGGTGTTGAAGCACGAGTTGCATAATGGGAGGACCGGTAGACTGGCCAAGTAAAAAGCCGGTAGGTTAATAGACTCCTATGGGTGCTTATGCGCATTTGCCTTCTATAACTACTATAAACAGAACCAAGAGGAAGGAATGTACTTAGTCTATGTCTCTACAAAAGAGGAGGTCGTTAAAACACCCCCAGAGATAGAGACCATCGTCAGGAGTCGTAGACAGGGAGGTTGTTCATGCCATAGAGATCATCCCAGGTAGCAAGACACCTAAAGGGAGAATCTATAGAATGGCTCTGGCCGAGTTGGACGAGTTTCGTCGGCAATAGAAAGAGCTCACAGAAAAGGGTTGGATACGGCCTAGCACTTCCCCCTTTGGCTCACCAATCCTGTTTGTTCCAAAGAAAGGGGGAACACTAAGGATGTGCATTGATTATAGAGGCCTGAATGCCATCAGCTTTAAGAACGCAAAGCCTCTACCACGCATCGACGACCTATTGGATAGGGTGCAGGGATGTAAGTACTATACAAAGATAGACTTAAAATCCGGCTACCATCATACTGCCATAAGACCAGAGGGCCAACACAAAACTGCATTTCAGACCAGGTACGGTCTGTACGAGTTTGTAGTGATGTCCTTTGGCCTTTGCAATGCACCGGGTACATTCCAACATGCCATGAATAAGATCTTCCATGACTACTTAGATAAGTTCGTTGTCGTGTACCTCGACGATATATTTATCTTTAGTAGAACTATCGAGGAGCATGCTCAACGTGTAGACAAAGTACTTTCACTCCTCCGGCGGCACAAGTATAAGATAAACGCAGAGAAATGCGAGTTCGGTCGCACTCGAATCCTGTACTTCGGTCATGAAGTATCCGCAAACGAATTAGGCCCGAAGATGCGAAGGTGGTTAGCATTAAGGACTGGCCACGACCCCAGTCTGTGACTGAGGTCAGATCATTCTTGAGAATGTGTGGTTACTACCGCAACTTCGTAAAGAACTATAGCACGATCGCATCTCCCTTGACTGATCTAACTCGGCTTGACACACCATGGCACTGGACCGACGAGTGTGAAGGCAGCTTTCAAACGTTTGAAGCGTGCTCTCACGGACCATGAGGTTCTCATGGTACCCGACCCGCAAAGGTCATTTATTGTAACCACTGATGCAAGCCAATACGGCATTGGCGCAGTGCTGGCTCAGCAGGAAGGGAAAAAGTTCAGACCGGGCGAGTACATGAGCAAAAAAATGTCATCAAAGAAGTTGGCAAAATCCACCGACGAGAGGGAACTCTACGCTCTCTACAAGGCACTTGTCCACTGGAGGCACTATCTGTTAGGAAGGTTCTTCTATTTGAGAACCGACCACCAGACCCTCAAGTGGATCAAGACACAACCGGTTCTCTCCGATGCACTCCAACGCTGGATTGAAGTCATAGATCAGTACGACTTCAAACTAGACTATGTGAAGGGAAAGTACAACAAAGTTGCAGACGCGTTGTCTAGAAGGGCAGATTACCTGGGTGCTCTAATTTTTGAGTTTCGCCTATGTGAGGACGTGACTCGATCTATGGAGGAAGCCTACAAGGAAGATCCCATCACGATGGACATCATCAACAAACTTCAGGCTAAAGACAAGGCCACCACTGATGAGTTTGTGATGGTGGATGGGTTGCTCTTTCTTGAGAAGGCAGGGTTTAAGAGACTAGTTGTTCCATCTAGGGAAGATTTGCGTAGTTTGTTCTTAGGAGAATGCCACGATGCAACCAAACATTTCGGCTATAAGAAAACAAGTGCTAACTTAGTACAGCGATTTTGGTGCCCTAACATGTTGGACGATGCAAAGAAGTACATACAGACCTGTCAGATCTGTCAACGGGACAAGCCGCGGACTCAAGCTCCGCTTGGGTTACTCAAGCCTCTACCCATTCCTACTGGCCCATGGCAGAGTATCTCAATGGACTTCATGGATACTCTCGTGACCAGCAAGAATGGCAAGAGGCACATCTTCGTCATAGTGGATAGGTTCACTAAGTACGCTAAGACTGATCGCCATGCCAGAGACTGCCAGGACTGAGCACGTCATCAAGTTGTTCATGGACAACTGGGTGCGTGACTTTGGACTTCCAAAAAAGATCGTCAGTGACAGAGATGTACGTTTCACAAGCGAGATGTTGAAGAAGGCCGCTGAATAGATGGGCAGCCAGATTCAAATGCCTTCTGGGAATCATCCCGAAGCAAATGGGCAAGCTAGACAGATGAACCGAGTGGTGCAGCATCTGCTGAGGCATTACATCAAGCCCAACCAGGATGACTGGGATGAGAAATTACCTCTGATCAACAGCCTGTACAACAATGCTGTACACAGCACCACCGGCATCAATCCTAATCAACTGCATCTGAGGTGGAAGCCTAGATCTGCTTTAGACTTCCTCCTACCTGAAAACCGACCTGCTGCAACTCCTGGAACCATCGAATTTGGTGTCCAGTATAAGAAATTATTGCAGCAGACTGTCGAACATATCAAGAAATCTCAGGAAGCTATGATTGCTTCTGAGAACAAACGTCTCCAACAGTCCACATTTCAGGTAGGAGAACGTGTCTGGGTCAAGGCTAATGAGTTGGGGCAGGAGTTTGGCATCTCTAAGAAACTAATGCCTCAGTATTCCGATCCCTGGGAAGTCTTAGACATAGTGGGAAATGATTTTGATGGTCCCTCGTACGTCATTCGTATCCCTGGTCACTTACTCACTTACCCTGTTGTTCACGCCTCCAAGCTTGCACCCTTTGCTGAGACAGCACAGTTCTCATCACAGAGATCTATGCTGCCCCCAACCATGGATGGCCACGTGGACGTCGACAACATCCTGGATCACAGAGACACACATGTTCCCAAGCCAGCTGGCAGGGGAAGACCTCCCAAACCTGCGAGGGAGTACAGAGTACATTTCACGCATCATACTGATCCAAAGGAAGATCGATGGATTTCAAGGGAGGAACTTGTCAAGACAGCTCCTCAGATCATGGCAGATTATGAGAAGAATCTGAAGGGGAAGGCACCAGCATGAAGCATCTCAACGGACTTTCGATTCTAAGGGGGATGGAATGTGAGGAACAAGCCCTCGAGGGGCCCTATCAGACATCACATTGTTCTGGGCTAAGGCCCCCAGCAAGCCAAAGTGCCCGCCCTAAGTGAAGGCGGGCCTGAATATTCGTCAGAGGCAAAATTCCACATTTCCATATGTGGGTATTCAGGCTCTCGCAGCACGCCAGTTGGTTGGGTAGACGCGTGAGCCTCACATTTCTGCGTCATACAGTTGGCCGAGGCCTTGACAGTAGCGCATGGGCACACATACACAAAGGAGGGCCGAGACATTGGGAAGCAGGCCTTCAGCCTTGGAAAAAGCAGTAGTGCTGACGCACCTGCCTCGGAGCCCTGCACAGATGCAGCAAACAGCCCAAGTCCAAAAACTCAGGCCGTGCCTAACTGTAAAGGGCCCAGGCCCTCAACTGTAGTCTCGGGCCNCAGCCCAAGTCCAAAAACTCAGGCCGTGCCTAACTGTAAAGGGCCCAGGCCCTCAACTGTAGTCTCGGGCCTGGGCGCAGGGTCTGGGACCCAACCAGAAGCTACTGGAAGCTTCCAGCCAGGCCTCGCGCAGCATCCAGGAGGCTGCCACTTCCACAAAAGGAGTGAGGCAGCCCAGGCCAGGCATTCTGGCCAGTGCTGGCAATGCGGAAGTGCTGCTGCACTCTCGCTTGATGCTGCGCTGCTGCCAAGGGCACTGACCGGGCGCATAGAGGTGAAGTGGGGCGCTGCAGGGCAGCGCGGCACAGGCGGCCATAGCCGGGCTGCTGGGCGCCAGGGGGTAATGCGGGCGATTGAGTGGTCTTCAGGGAAGGAGGCGAGTGTGGGGTAATCAACGTCCGATTGAGGGTGACGAGATACATACCTGGTACATGAAGAGAGGTCAGTGATGGTGTTGGCAGTCATGTACATTGGTCTTCGTGAGTCGAGGTGATCCTGTTGCGTGAACCAGCTGTAGGTAGGATAGTCAGGTAGAGTAGGCTGGGCGCTGAGCGCCAGACAGAGCAGAGCGACTTTGGATACTGTGTTGGTGTGGCCTACGGGCTTGAACATTGGCTCATTACTTCATTGTATTGCTCTATATGGATGGTTTTCTCGGTGCATTTGTACTCTCTGCTTGGGGCACAACTACTTGGACGGCTGTGTGATTTCGCTACTTGGTTTTATGTATATCGCTCACCCTCATATTCCTTGCATGAATCACCGCAGTCCAATACCCCATTCCTATAATTAAATGAAAGGGAAAAAAATTGTGTACGGTGCAATCTTCGACCACAGGCACAAAATCAGATGAACGTCATGCTATGCTTGCGCAAACAACCCCACCTGTGCTGTCCCCAGTGCTAGCTCGTGAGCGGGGCGGGCCAGGTTCATACAGCAACAGTGGAGGATACCAGGGCTAACGGTAATAGTACCCCACTGCAGTGAGTTCGGACTGTTACCCCACTACAGTAAGTTTGGACTGTTACCCCACTACAGTATTCATGTCGAGTACTGGGACTATTCTGCAAGCCCAGTACAGATAGAAGGCCCATATGTCTTCTATACGTGGGAAGAGAGTACGGCCAAAATCTGGGTATCATTTCCGACACCCGGCCCATATGTCTTCTATCGTTTGTTTTCATTACAGGAGATATCAAGCTACGTAGCTTCTACAAAACATGTTTCCTTCTTTCTTGGTAAGCTCAAAAAAGATGTCCTCTTTGTGGCGTAACTCCATGACAATAACTCAGCCGGAACTAAACACGCATGGACGTGCTAACACGCGTCCGCATAACCAGTTCACTCGCTGCAAGAACAATCCTTTCCCTGTTGTTAGTTCTCTCTTCAACTACGCGTCATTTGTTCTCTCCACGCACGCAAATCTCCCTTTCTTTTCACGTCGAATATGAGCACTCGTCGCCGACACGCAAAAAGAAATTACTTTCTACAATACGGCTCAGGTTATATATACAGAGTGCATCATCCACACACACACACACACAAACACACACACACAGAATCCCCTACCCCTACTGCGGTTTGCAACCACGGCCTCTGTTTGAACGCTTATTTCGTTCTGTCTCAGACAGTACGAAGGTTTGCTGCTTCCGATGATACGTCTCGTACCGAATCGATCGCATAGTAGACGTCATGAACAAGCTGAGGGCATGCGCTCTATTCGGAAAAAGGTACTAGCATGATCATGCACTAGTTGTACTAGCATGGTCATGCACTAGTTACAGCGATCCATTGATAGGTAGAGGAATACAGTCAAACCGCGCTCGCTGAGTAAGGCAAACGATGCATGGGACTCGGCAGGGTTAGGGATTTACCTATTCCACGGGGGGCTGGGCAGGGTTAGGGATTTAAGTATTGCGCGGAACGGAAGGAGGCGGAACATCGTAAAAGGACAGTCGGGTGGAGGAAAAAGACGAAATCACGTGGCCGCACAATAAACAAAGGAGGGAAAATCGTCGTCAAGCGGGAAGAGCCAGGCGGCATAGCAAGAAGAAAAGCGTGTATAAAAAAGCCACAGAGTGTCGCGCACAGAGAGAGGGGGAGACAGGGAGAGAGCAAAACCGGGGGGAAAAAGCCAAGTCACTGAGCGAAAGACAACGAAGGAGAACGGCAGCAGAGCTACACCACAGACGGCAAAAGACTGAATTATAGGCCACAAGGCTACCTGTTGCGGCTTCGCCCGCAAAACAATGAAGGGAAAAGGGTGCAAATGAGGGTGGGTGGGGGCTTGTTGGTCCGGGTATGGGTTTGGGTGGGGCCGTGGTGTTTTTTAGGCTCACCTGTGCACTGTTGTTGACACTGCCGATGGAATGCTGCTGCTGCTTTGATCGCCTTGAATATATGCTTTTTTTTCTCTTTTTGAATTTTTTTTGCTTTTTTCTCCTGTCAGAGACCTAATCACAGTTTGCATTCTTTTCAGTTGTGGTTTGCTGGGTATGTGATTGTTCGGATTTGAACTCGTCTGTTGTGTGTGTCACACGTTGCATACCTGTCTCCCGCTCACCACAA